CATACTCAGAGTTCGTCAGGAGAGAGTATGGATTGGCAACTGTTGTATTTGATAGTTATGATGGGACTCCTTCTATAAAAGACAATACCTATCAAAGAACAGGACAGAATATCAACCCAGATGTAAACTTTACGGCTAATACCGAGTTTGATGGCAAAAAGAATGAGTTCCTTTCGAGGCATAACAAGCAGATAAAATAGTATAATACATACTCCAAGTATCAAAACGCACGCCATCGTGTCGGGATTCAATATTTCGAAATTAATTATGTCATCATCAGGATAACAAGCAGAAGTTTATAAATATGCTCTCTGCTGAACTTCAGAAAAGAAATTGTCCTGTAATACAAGCAAGGAACGATGCTGACGTGTATATAGTGTAGCAGCAGTAGATATTTCCCATCATCATACTGTAACTTTAATTGGAGAAGATACAGACTTGTTAGTTCTTCTTCTCTATCATGTCAATACAGACAAACGAGAGGTTTACTTCAGGTCGGACAAGACAAAGGATACTAGGGTAAGGGTAATAAATGTAACCCGCATAAAATCCGCCTTTGGAAATAAAGTATGCCTTGCATTGCCATTCAACATGCTTTTACGGGTTGTGATTCAACATCTTGCATTTTTGGCATCGGTAAGGAAGGCAGCTTTCCAGAAATTGGTGGAGGGGGATTAGATTCTTGATTATGTGCTGAAGCATTTAGTCAGCCAAATCAGAACAGTGATGTAATTGTGGAATTTGTAAGAAAGGCTATGGCTATCCTGTTTGGGACTTAATCCATTGATTCACTTGATAGCTTCAGATGTACGCAAGAAAGTTGTTGGGGGTAACGATAGTGACGCCTCAGCAACTACCTCCAACTTCATCTGCCAGTAAATTTCATTGTCAACTTTTAAAAATCATCCATTGCAATTGCACTACTGGATGTAAAACACCACGTTGCAGTTGCAGATGCTATGGGTTGGCATGCACATATCAGCCTGTGGAGCCTGTTTAAGGGATGTGAGAATGTAGAGAAAGTAATAGATGATGAAGAGGGAGAAATGGAAACATGACTATTTGATTTAACGTAAACTACAAAATACATTAAATATAGCAAGCCTTGTCCTTAATTCCAGTCTACTTGTTGGTATAACTGTTAATCAATAGAATCTTAGATGACAACTTTCTTTGATTTGATCAAAAAATGACGACACTTAAAATTGCTAAAGTAAGTACTGATTTATGACTGTTTATACATGGCGGCCATCTTTGACGCCATCTTGAATTGATTTATATTGATTATATCACATTCTAAATTGTCTGAAATGATTTACTGACCCAAAAAACTTGATATTGTTTTAAAAAGATCGCGATTATATCACAATTTGTAGCTGTTTTATGGTATGGCCGCCATTTGGCGGCCATCTTGGAAACAACCACTTTCCGGTGGTCGGATTTCATAAGACTTTTTTAAAATGTTATTTAGCACACTCAATACTACCAAAATCCGTTGAAAAACCTTTTGTTGCAATTTTTTGGGGGTTAAACCTTATTTCTACTGTACTAATTGGTGCGAAAGGGGACCGAAAGCGGGCATCGGCGGCGGAACGTTTTTGAAAGGGGGGGTGGGAGGCATTTCATAAGGTTCAGTATGCGAGCGAAGCGAGCATCTAGGCTGGGGCAAGGGGGCCGCCAAGGGCCCCCGGTACGGGAAGCTACGCAATTAAGTTTGGTGAATTTTATAAGTTATTTTATAAGCATCAAGCTAAAGTACTGTAATATGATTTCATATTTGTTGTAATTTCCAGTGGCGGATACAGGACTTCGAAATAGAAGGACCCAGTGAGGGTACTTTCACAGATAAGAAGAACTATACTAGCTCAGCCCCACCAAGTTTGGGGCTGAGGTAAGAAACTTTGTGATTATGGCCGGAAATTGCACTTCCAGACATAAAATTTGAATATTATCTTTATATCTCAATTTTTTATTGAACAATTTAGGGGGGTGGGGCGGGCCGACTGGGTCCCCTTGAATCCGCCACTGGGTACTTCAGCAGATGGAGAATAAACCACCCGAGCCCCACACCATGGTAGAGCTGAGGTAAGAAAATTTGTTAATATTATGGCACCTCTAGATGGCCGGAAATTACACTCTCAGACTTAAAATTTGAATATAATTTTCCTTAAAAAAGTTGAACAATTTAGCCTCCCTCCCCTTGGACGCGCCAGAGGTTGCTTCCACGACCTCAATGAATTATTTATCATGAGGGTTATCCTTGATATGGGTTCCCCGACGAAAACTTCACTTTTCCACCGATTGATAAAAATTACCCTTCTTATGTAGCCCAGAAATGATACTCCAACTGTGGCAGGTCCAGGAAGTCGAAATAAAGGGGTTCCAGGCAGGGTCTTGTGCAAATAGAATGTCCACCAGCCCCACAACTATTGTGGGGCTGAAAAAAAAAATTATGATTATGGCACCTCTAAATGGCCGGAAATGGCACTCTCAGATTAAAAGTTGAATACAATTTTGTCTGTTTTCTCCATTTTTCATTTTATAATTTTGAAAAAATAATAAGAGGGAGTCCCGTGCTGAATGTGTCCCCCCTTGAATCTGCCACTGTTCAATACACTTGACATAGCCTTTGTTTCACAAATGATTAATTCCTAAAAATGATTTTTTTTATTTGAAAGTATTTTTTCTTCATTCAATACAGTTTTTACAACCTATTACACATTAACTACAGCGTACTGTAAATTCTGTAGTTAACCTTCAGAGAACTTTATTTTAAAATATGGCCTAACTTATTGTTTTCGTTAAATTAGACGGAGTTTAAATGTGGTTATATTACGCTAGTTTGAAGGTTTACTGTAAGCCAATCAGTTACACTTACTATACATCGTGGTTAGCATAATAGAACGTCGCTCCATTAAGAGTGTAAGAGTGCCTACCTCCCACCACCCCCATATGCCTAAATACAGAATTTACTGTATGCAGGCGTTTTTTTTTTCTTCATGCTCGATTGAGGGTGGGTTTCAAGGAAACTTTACAGACGTATTATACAGACGTCAATCAACATTTGGTTGCTCAACTCAAAAAGGGAACTTGTAATGTTCGTTAGCCGTTGAAAGCGGAGGCCGCCGATCGAGATAACACCACCCTGTCGGGAAAATAACCCCACACCCAAGTCCTCCCCAGAATTACACCGTTGTTTTTATTGGGTATAGCCGTATGTCTATTAATCTAAGGTAAAAATAAAAATTATGAAGAATCTTTTAGTCATCACTACTTCACTACTGTACCAAATATTTTAAATATTTTGATTTTTTAAAAATGTCTTTAAAACTTTAAAACTTATATTGGGTAAATCTTAACAGCATTTCCTGGCAACGTAAATCTGTATGACGTCATAAGGTTGCACAAAATAGAGTTTTACACAGAGGAGAACACATGTTGTTTCTTCTGATACAAGTTATCTGTGTAAACACCCTGACCTAAAACATCATAAGTTCCGCGTTGGGCTCGTTTCGATTGTACGAACATGTCATCCACTAAAATGAAGAGGTAGGCTATAACACTTTTTGGTAAAAGTGCAAACATATCTAGCGTAGCCTAGGCAGGCCTAGGAGGGAGGACCTAGCTAGGCTAGCCAGCCAGGCATAGGCCTTCTTAGGGCATAGCCTTCCTTTCTAGCTAGGGCCTAGCCTAGGCCTACCTTCACTGCTCACCTCGTTGGAGGAGCAGGGAACTCTATACTAGCCTCTTCGAGGCGCTAATGCATAAGTTCACCTCATCTTCAAAATCAAACTTCCAAGTTGTAATTTCCTTAAATATTCATGTATTATGCAAAAACATTCATTTACCCACACGATTGAAACTATTATATGACAAATCCAGCTTGTGTTATTAAGAAAAATTCGGTTTTACCGCAGCTCTCTCGAGTGGCTCCCATCTGATCGCTTTTCGGCCATCTTGTAAATGAAATGGTTGCCAGAATCACATATATACGATTTCT